TGCAGCACAGGCTGCATAAATCCTTCTTCAAGGGAGAGCTTTCCCCTCAGGTCAAACCAAAGCAGACAAATGTTAAATGCATTAAAATGTTTAAGACCTTAAATGTATTCAGGGTCCCAAATGTCAGGCTGATACTCTTGATTCTGAGGGCAAGGTAAAACTAAATGTGAATGAAGAAGCTGAATGGTTCCAAATTCAGTGAATTCAGTTGGACCAAAGCAGGATGGACAGCACAGAAGTGGCTCTTGCACTGCAAGAAATAAGGACAGGGGTACCTCAGTGCCCAGTCACTGCAGTGATGTGGCACAGACCATGGTCCCCTCAAGGAAAGCAAATTATAAACTGCATGTAGCTCTCCTGATGGTGTGAAGAGAATGTATTATTAAAAGCTATGGACAAATACAGGATTTCCATGCTGCTGACATACAATATATCCTATAGTTTATTTACATACTTCAGTCATCAATAACCCTTCTCCATTACAGCTGTCAAGTATTATATGTAGTTTCTTATATTACAAAGAAAAAAAAAATAGAATTGTAGGTGGTCTTGCTGCATTTTTATTATTTATCTGGGAAAACTGGCACAAGAACAGCCTTGTGGGGTATTAGAAAAATCACTCCTTGTTTACAGGAGTGTTGATCAAAGAGGAAACTGCTAAATCCTTTCAAGCAAGGAAGAGTCAGTGCAGGCTGTCAGTGAGGTGTGAGCACTCTGTCTCTGAAGCATTGGAAACAGTGTTTTAATAATACAGAACCAAAACATAATTAGATTTGTTCCGAGGGACAAGGCAAGCAGGAAAAAAAATGGAAATTTCTGCCCGTTTTCCTTTAATCAAACACTACCACTGCGGTCATTAATAACTTCAGATAATTTACCTTTCCTAGCAGGTAAACCTTTCAACAGTAAACAACTGCACTGGTTTTTACTGTTAAGATGAAAGCACTCTCATCCCCTGCAGCAGACACTGGATGATTCTTTCCTCCTCCACTGTGGCTCTTCTAGTTCTGGGCTATAGTGATGACTTTCCAGTCTCTAATAAATTCTGTATTTCTTGCTAGAGACTACCAATTCCCATGGCACAATCCTCTGATTGCCATGGAATAAAAATGAAAAAATAACCCACCAAACCAAACACAGCCCTGCTTTATTAGTAATTTTACTGCTGTTGTAGCTTTTTGATCTCTATATCATGTTTGAACTTTCCTATGGAAAATACAGAAATCCTGCCTGATACCATTTTTTGGAAGTGCCAAGTTGTGTTGGCTTTTTTCCCTTTTCACTTTCTATTTCTAAAACCTACTTCCCCAACTTTCTAAAAATCTTCTTATCTTTACTAATTCCCACACCAAGTCTAAACCAGAAAACTGGGTGTCAGCTGTTTTCCTGTAAGTAGACATCAAAACAAAGGAAGCACAATCTTGCTGTGAATTCAGCAATAATGCAGTACAGAACGAAAAAAAGTTTGCATCACTTTATATTTTCAGCAAGATAAATAACTGTATTATTCTATGAACAATTTTAAAATAAAATTAGATAAAATCTTGATCTCTTTAAGGAAATCTGTCATTGCAGCTTTTGGACCACAAAAGAGGAGACTTTATGACTATGTGTCAGACAATACAGATAATGGGTTCATTGACTTGTTAGGCTGCTGAAATAAAATAAAAACAAAAATCACAAAAAAAAGCTGAAAAATCTATACTAAATATTTGCTCTTTGCCAATCTCCTTGAAGATAAACATTTTAAATTCATGACAAGATAATAAATCACTTTATAAGCTCATTTTTTTCCTAAGGGGTAAAGAGTTTACTGGGAAATTTCATTTTATTGAAAGGCAATTGATATAACACCACTTTCAAACACAGTTTTTATTCCAGGTCTGCTCCTTCAAGCTTCAAATTTATTTACTGCAGGTAGGACTCTTTCAGAGTTCTTTGGTATTCATTTTCAGAATTTCTTATAAGACTAAGAAATGTTCAAGTAACATCCAAAAGCAGACTACAGGAACCTGGGGATAAATTGGGAAAAGGAATCCAGATTTTCTCCCTACTTACATGAGAAGTAGGTGTGAATCAATTTCTAACATTTCAATTTGGGAGCATATTGAGCACATGCTTGGTCATAAGCACATGCCATCAACTCACTGTTTATTTCAAAATTTAAACTTGAAGGGTGCTGCTGAGTGGCTTTGGGATCAGCCACACTGATCCCAAGTTCACTGCTGCTGAGCCTGGCCAGGGACACTCAGCCTGTGCCAGATGGAGCTGGCAACCCAACCCTATCACCCAGCCAAGGAGCTGAGAGGGCTCACACTCTGCTGGGATGCTCAAAGGCAAAATAAATCCTTTTGTGTAGCAGTGCTGACATCACAGGGGAGACTACTAAGCTTTGTGGGCATCAAGCAGCACGGATTTGGGCACTGACCACAGCAGCTGACAGCATGGCCAGGTACCAAAGGCATTCTGAAGGGCTCGTGTTCCACAGAACCATTTGTTGATCTAAACATGTGCCTGAAAAAATGACAACATTCCAGCTTTGGGCCTTGGGGTACTGAAGTTTTTCAATGGTAAACACTACAACTGTGCCCATACTTACCCACATCTCCTATTTCAAATGCTGGCATTGTTCTACCGGTTTCTAATTTTTTTTAGGGTTATTTTGGATTGTTTTTGAAGAAATTCTAAACAGAAATAAATTTTGTAAAAAGAGCAGGATATATACCTCTCACAATTCTCCATGGTGCTGTGCTGGAGACACAGGCTTTCTCTCTGCTCAGTTCAGAGCAAGTTCAATTTATTTAGTCAGCTGCTCTCCCAGTTTGTTTGAATGCAATGCTATGTGTGCAAATTTTCACACCAGACTACACCTGGAACTTCATAGGTCAGATAAAATTTTTAATTATGATCCACATAAACGACTGAGTTCAGAGCCTCTTCCAGGGGGATTACAGACTGTCTCCAAGGCTGGGAACAGATGTACTTTAGGAATGAATTGCATTTCTCAATGACTTGCATCCCTTCCAATCCACGAGTTCAGTGGGACCAGAAGCAAAGCAAAATTTGGCCTACCATGTTGGCTGTTTTAGTACGACTTTCAAATGGATGCTTTGCACAATCAATTGTCAGACCTCAGAGAAAATGTTGCCCCATTCACTGTAAAACAGGAAGGTCCACAGAGGAAAACAGTTGCATTAGAAAACCACACAAACAACATTAAGGCTACCTAGTTGGATGTTTTCAACCCTTTTTGTTTTCCTCTGCAAACAATGACAGTTTCAGTAAGATCTGAAGCGATGCTCTGAACAAATAATACACTAGTCTGTCATTGGTTAATATTAACGTCTCTCTATTCAAACATGCTGAGAACTGAATAGAACAGTTAACATATAACAGTCACACATCCTTTGCTGAGTACAAGATCGTATCTCTAACATCAACCAAAGATATCCTCACCATTTCAGATCTTCAGCTAGCATTCAGTAAAACATTCCATTCTCTTAAATACATTGCTTGTCTCCTCTTTCTGGGTCTTTCGGGGGTGCTGCATGAACACATTCTCTCCCTAAAGGCATGGCCTATGATATGGTTCTTTCTTCAACTGAAATCTTGCTGTGTGTTCCCATTATGTTGCCAGTGGTGAATTTGCAGAGCTTGGGGGAGGGAAGATCTTGCATTTGAATTGAAAAGATTGAATTTTCAAGCATCAGTTTGGGCAGGACTCTGCACTGTACTGCATAAATCTCATCTCGAAGAAATTAATGCTGAACGATTCATTAGTTGTGATCACCACTTGAAAATTGTTGAACCAGAGGTTTATATAGCACCCAGTTTTCTTATAACATGAAAATTCAGGTATGTTCACAGGGTTAATGGGCAGAGGCAAGCTCCCTTTGCTCACGTCCTGAGATGGAGGAATGCAAGTGGTGTGGACAGAAAGGTCCAATGACTGTAGGGGTGCAAAGCCAAGCCCCAGCTAATGCACCCTGCCTTTCAGAGGGTTTATCTGGTGTGGGCTCGGGGCCATGCCCACCACAGCCAGCTCAGCTCATACACAGTGAGATTGTGCCCAGCCACCACATATGGCAGGGAAATGCCAGGGTGAGCCCAAGCCCCACAGGGACCCTCCCTCACTGCTACAACAAAAGCTCTGTCTTTGCAGAAGGGAGTCTGAACACCTCACAATCCATCCTGGGGCATAAAACAATAGCTTGCCCTCAAATACATTTCTGTTGAAAACACACAGCAAAGATTGCAGCCATAGAAAATTCTGTAAACAGGACAATTTCATCAACTTTATCTTTAAAAGTACCCCCAAAACCACAAAAGCAACCCAAAATAAGCCTTGCTGAATGAAGACTGTCAAAAAGAATTCTTTTTACTGCCTTAACAAAAAAAAAAATGACATACACCTTCAGCATTTCTTTTCCAAATTTACTTGACAGAGGTTAAGATATTGCTTTATTCTGACTCAACATACAACAGCACTGTGGGATTGATTGTGCTATTTTGGGAAGTCTTGAGACTTGTGAACTAGAAAGTCTGGGGCATATTAATAAATCTAACAATTATTTTGCTTCAAAGGAATATTTTAATACATTCTGTATATACTCTTATTTTTTTTAAATCAATCTCCTGGCACTAACCAGGGAAGGCTATTTAGTGATTATTTATTATAGTGGATTTTTTCCCCCCCAAGAATAAGGAGATATTTTAAGACAGTAAACCCAGTAAGGTGTGTCACTGAACCCAATTCATTGCAAAATTGGCACATTCTGTTACAATTTATGGGGGGAAAAGGGACTCAAAAGAAAGCTAATGCAAAAAGGACTTACAGTGTGATTAGGATACAGCAACCAGGGAATGATGCATCCTCTCTAAGGCCTTGATCCCCTGCAGGGAGGGACTTGGTGGAACCATCTGCTCTTAGAAAGCTCCATCAGAGTCAGATCTCTGCATGCCTCTGGGTCTGCCCATACTGAACCATCTGCAGGGCTGAAGCTTTAAAGTTCACAAGCCTAAGTCATAATTAATTAAAGTGACTGGAGAACTGAATGCAGGAACAAATTAGGCAGTGTGGACACTTATTGGCTGGATTTTGATCATACTGGATCTCCCTGACTCTTCTCTGAACAAGCCATAATAAAAAATAAGTTTAAAAAAAATACACACACACCAAGAAGTGCTCCTTGAGAGCTTACAAATGATTTTAAAGTGTAAAAGTTTAGAAATGTTGAGGGGTGCTAACGAACAACAGAGTTTATGTTTCCACTTAAAAAAACCCAAACCAGAAACCAAAACCAAACCTGTTGTAGTACACACTTATACATTTTCTCTCGTTCTTCCTCACTCTCCACCAAGGCAGCTCTGATAGGCAAAGCTCAGAGGATGGAGCACCTGTGGACTCATTGAATCTCTATAGACCCCAATCCTGCTCCCACTCTTGGCCAATCCCAAAGCTCATAAATGATTCCATTGACTTTCTTGGGGCAACTGACACATCAAATTAAGGTTGAGAGTTAAGCATCTGCTCAATTCAGGGATGTTGTCATCATTCCACAGCAGGTACCAGAACTCAGAACTAGGTGTCTGTGTGCCTGTTCTCGTGATGTGAACCTAGAATCAAGAGCAGAGGGGGAGAGGGGACTGGATCTGTGTTGGGCTTACAGGACCTGTTCTCCAGGGTCTGAATCCCTGCCCAGCAGCTCACTGCAGCGCTGCCCTGAAACCAGAAATGCATCTAAGGACGGTACTTGGCCTTCACTGAAAAAGAGATGCATAGCCTAAGCCTTCGGACAGCCGAACAGGACCATGGGAAAGTCCTCTGGAACTGGAACTGTGTAATCCTGCCTAGAAAGCATCTAAAAGCACGCTTCATCCCTCCTGGAACTTTTCCCTTAAAAAAATATTTTGTTAAAAAACACTATGATATGAGGGCGATTGACTATTTGGTTTCTTCTAAGTAGATGCTCTTAAATTAATGCATATAAATAATTTGTATTTAACTTCCTTCCTTCCTGTTCAGCAAAGCGTCGAACGCGCGGACCTCTCGTTTCCCCTCCCGCAGCCCCCAGACGGAGTCACTTGGTCAGTACCGAGTCTCTCTGCGTGTCACTTTTGAGCACAAAGTGTGCCTCTCGCTCTGCCTTGGCCGTGGGGCTCATGGGCAGGAAGGCCGTGTTCTCGCTCGCGCCGCCCCGCGCCTCCGCGCTCGCCAGCTCCGCGTCCTCCGCCCGCCGCGCGTCCGTCAGCATCCGGATCTGCTCCTGCACAGTTTCCAGCAAGATTTTCACCTCGTGTTGCTCTGCTATTAGACAATTACTGACTGGGGAGCTCACGTTGACAAGTTCAGCAGAATAGGAGTTTTTGCACCATTTGATGCCTGTTACTTCAGGAACATTTTGCATTTGCATGCAGGCTTCGTCCAAGCCCACAGACGGGATGATGGGAACGGAGTTGGCCCTTGAAGAGGAATAGCTGACCAAGTCCTTCTGATCCACGTTATTAAAATATGGGGTTGTCTCTCTTGAAGGCAGTTGCATATTTATTGAAGGATTCTGAGGAGTTTTTAAACCACTGGATGAATACCTGGAAAGAGTAAAAAAAGTTGTACATCAAGTGGTCAGAGCAACCAGCAGCAGGGACACTGTGTGAGATTCAGTGAACTGTGCTGAAGAGATACACATCATTTTCTCCTGAAATAGAGGAGCACTTGGCCATGGCGGGGCCCTGGGGACAACAACAGGCTCTGGAGACTGGTTTGGATTCTCAAATCTGCCAGTTGCAAAGCACTGCCTTTCTCTTAGTCTCATTTCACCCACCAGTACAGGAGAATAATGGAAATTTACTTTTAAAACATTTCAGAAGTACTATATGTATATAATATAGTATGTATTATATTTCAGAAGTAATGTAATGTATTATTAATTTTCTTTGAAAATAAATTTGGAATTCTATTCCTACATTTCTCACTGGGGAAACGGATTGACACTTTCTTCAGTGTCAGAACTCTCAATGTCAAATGGCTGCTTTAGGAAAACACTTCTTTTAAAGTGCAGGTAAAAAGAACATTAAACACTCGTGGCTGTGTAGTCTTTATTTACATAGGAATGTACTCCCCCTCAAAGAACCAGAGCATTTAAGTGCAGTGTACCTCTGAATAAATTTTTTTTTTCAATAGCCCATACTTGTAATGCTGGCCTGATTTGTTTTATTTGATTTCAACTGGAAATAGAGATAATATACAGGACTTGAGCAAATGTCTGTGTTCTCTTGATACTGTAATACTGTTTAAAAAACAAATCCTTTATCATCCACTAACACATATTATAACATGATTTTAATGATTGTGAAGCAACTTAGTGAATTTGTATCAACATTTACACTGTGTTTCAAAGCCAAACTCTGTTTTGTTTAAAAGAAATACTTAAAAAAACCAGAAATGGAAAGTATAATAAAGATAAAATAAACAATGACAAAAAAAATGTTTCCCATTTGAAATTAGTACTTCTAGAAATGTGGTGCTCTAGGAGTTACTGTATTACACCAGTCATGGTTGCTAAGGACCACAGACATCACCTCAGTACCAGAACATAATTTATTTATAATCAGCTATAATCAGATTTATAATCAAGGCAATGGTGAATCTAATATTTTTTATCCATGGATGAGGAGAGCAACATTTAGATCTGTGTGGAAGCAGGTGCTCTAACTTGAAGGGTACTATTTCAAAAGTTCCTTAAGCCTGGCTGGACCTCACTAGGAATATCCTTCCACTCATATGTACCTCCTGCTTTTTGGGATGAGCAGAAAAAGAGTTAAGGAAGAGAAACTGAATGGTGTGAAACTGCCGTGGTCCAGCACTGGCACAAGCAGAAATTAACTGGAAAGGCTTCCTCTGGCCCCATGCTCCTGGCCAGGTGTCAGACAGGAGGGAGCAGGAGACAACTGCAGGCTCGTTTCCAGCACAGTGCCACTGACCTGTAATTAACTGCTGTGTGCTGGCACTGGGTTTGTACAAGTGCTGCACACACCCCCTGCCCACGTGGAGCTGGCACAGCCCATACCAGGACTCTCCTGGCATCCCCAGGGGCTGCATCCTGGAGCTCTGTGAGAAGGAGGAAGGGCTGGGAACTTTGCTGCCAGGTGAGGGAAAGAGATACTGCTTTGGGGAGTGGCACCCAGGGGAATAATACAGCAAGCAGCTTTCTGGGATGTGTGCTACAAGTTCCTGTGAGTGCTCTGCAGCTGTTTCACATCTGAGACTTGGTTAATGACAGTGGCACTACGCTCAGACACACCTGTAGCCATTCACGGAGGGGCTTTTTACACCAGCTCTCAGGATGAATGAAATACTGATCAGGGGTATTATTCCTGAGGAAGGACAATTAAAAAAAAACAAATGAAAACAAAACAGTGCAGACCTTTGGGTTGTGCCCATTCTTGTTTCCTTTGCTTATATATAATTGTTCAAACGACTATAGCTGGAGAGATCGCATCAGTTGCATTAGTCCCTTTTTTGGTAATTCAGGCCCTAAATATATTCTGGGCTGCACCCTGAAAACAAAGGGAGTGAATGTTTTTAATGAATTTCACATGCAATGTAGGTATTATATGGATGATATATAAGCAAAAACAAGAAAAGACTGAATTAAAATGGGTTTGGTGAGAAAACAGTAACATTTGCCAGTTCCCCAGTAGAGATTCTTGGTATTTTGAAAACTAACTGGCAGCAGCAGTGACATGTAACGAAATGCATGGTGCATTCCCATAATATTTTTTGAAATACAGATAGACATACCAATTTTATGCCAGAATTACATGTTTCTGCCCCTGCTCACAGGGCTTTCAAAGGAGAACTGAGGTTGAATTAAAGTGCATACATTGTGTGCAACAGGTGAGATATTAAACTCAAAGGGATATTAAATCTAAACCATGTGAGACTTGGCTTTTAGTTAATTACAAACTGATCCATGCTTCTGTGTGTGACACCAGACTGCTGCTGTTTTCAATAGACTGAGACTTAGAACTATAATTGCAGAACCTTAATTACATTCTCCTATAATTAACTTTCCCAGAACCACAGTTCCTCCAAAGAAATATATCTGTGTTTTTATCTGAAAAATTATTGTCTGAATAAATGAATTCATGTGCATGTGTTTCAAAGTGCAGCTCTCTCTCCACCCTCTTCCTAAAACCAAGCAATGAAAGCAAATATTTATAAATATTTAACAGTAATTATGTTATAGAGTGTGTAAGAGTCTAAATTAAAGAATGAAAGTGATAGAAGCACAATAATTTTACTGGCCCCTTTAAGAATAGATATCAAAGAGAGACACAAGGGACTGAAACTTTAAATATGAAATGGATTTTACTTAGCATAGTCCCAGCAGCTTTGCTGTGAGCCCTGTGGCCAAAGGTGTGCAGTGTACAAGCCTGACAACAAGGTCCATTGCGATGGATGGGGATCATGGCAGGGGCTCTGCCAGGCTCTGGGGCAGCCCTACACTGAACACACACACACACCCCCATCCTCTGCAGGCCTGACTGCACTTCAGCCAGGCTGCTGCTGGATGGAGTTCAGAGTGCTCACAGAATCAGGGAGACAAACCACTTGGATTTGTGCTTCCCAACAGGGAAAGATGGAGGTGGAAAAGGAGAAGAAAGGAAGTAGTGCAAATTCTGCAGGGGACAAGGGAACTTTTCATTTGGGCTGGAAATTTGATGAGAACACCAACACTGTGAATATTTAGAACAACACAGCAGATATTTAGAGGGTACACATCCTTAGTGCACAAAATATAGATGAAGTGCTTAAGTGGATTGAGGCCAGAAGGGGTCACAGTCTGGCCCCAATATCAAATTTTGCAGAACTGCAAATTCAAAATACAGGCCAGTACAAGCTGATACTTGTAAGGTCACACACTGATTTCCTAGACAAGAGTAAATACAATTACCCACAGCTTTGCTGTGCCTCACTCCTCAGCCTGGGAGGAGGCTCTGGCACCTCCCAGAGCCTGCATCAAACGATGCTGCCACTGGAGAGGGAAGGCTGCCTGCTGCTCCTTTCTGCAAGGATGGCAACTGCAGTAGGAAATTTTCACCAGGACTTATATGCACATATCACACAAATGAACAATATTTTTACTGCAAGAGACAATAAACAATTTTTTTCCTCAGAAGCAAACAGTAACAATGACACAAGTGTGAGTCAAACTTGTTTAAAAGAAGTCACCAGACACCCAACCCCATCAGTTTCACCTGTAAGTCAGAGTGAGGAGTTTCACTGTGACTTACAGGTGAAACTGGGTGGGGTTTTTATTCCATTCCAGATATCACTCCTATTTTCATATAAAATATGCTTGTAATATTCTGGGAAGCCTTTGGAAATCTATAGGGATATGTAAATACTATGCAAAGTATCTCAGCAATTGCAAAAGACTTCAAAGGCAGCTGCAGGTTCTCAGGAGCACTTCTGAGACCCAGACCTTATGTACAGCTCAGCTCAGTGCTCTAATAAACTGAATTTAAAAAGGAAAGGAAAAGCAGCATTTGTGCATTTTTGAAGACAAACCTGTATGAAGCTATGTACAGAAACCAACTCTGCAATGTGCATGATTTTCTTTTCAAAGCCCCAGAGGGGCTCACTTGAGGCATGGCTTTACTCACCCGTGACAAGGTATGGTGTCCTGGTCGGTGATCCTGGACTCCTGGAGCTGCTGATATGCTGGTCCTGCAATCCCATTGAACCTACCCCGAGGCAAGGGAGGAGTCCTCCGAAAGGCATTTCTGTGCAGCATCCCACTTCTCTGTCCTGGGCTGCAGCATGAAGAGAGACTTCTAGGAACAACACCAAGAGTACAGTAACAATTATCACACCAAAAGCATAAAATTCTGCCAAGTAAACGTTCAGGATTAATAATGCATGGATTACTGTTCTTATAAACTTTGCTGTGGCAGTCTATGATGTCAGTAGAAATTCTCTATGGAAATATAATAGTACAATCCACCATTAGCTGCTGCTTACGCCATTATTTAATACATCACCTCTTTTCTAGGAATGAAAATAATTGCCCACTATATGAAATGTTTTCTTGCACTTGATGAAGGATGCTTCTCCTTTCCATGCTGCATATCATAGTCCTACTATAGAGAGTTGAGTCCTCAGACAGCATAGACAAACAATACAGATCTCTCATACCCACAGCTGAATTCAAAATGAGATCCAAAACTGAAAGCCCAATATATTATCTATCATCCTGTGAAGTGCTGCTTCCTGATACAAAAGCATTAAATTGAGAAAAAGTGTAAGTGAAGAATATAAGCAAAGCTGATGAACTGCAGATTGAAGAAGCTAAGACAAGTTTTCTCCACCTTGAACAGTATTTCTGTATTATTTTATTCCTGTTTTATATACAGATTGCTTTGTTGTTTATATACATTGATACCATGCTGTTTCTTTATATGATATAATAGAAACTTGAACTCGATAAAAAACAAGTCATAATTTTCTACTTATTTTAGAAAATTGGTTTTGTAAATGTCTGGTGTTTTGGAAGGAGAATGGATTTTTTTTTTCATTTCACACTGGAATGAAAAAGTATCTAGAATCCACGGTTTTGCTATATAAACCATACATTTGCTAATGCAAAAATATGGGAACACAGAACTAAGGCAAGGCATAGCCCATTTTTACTGCTAACAGGTCTCAGTACTGCATGGCGTGACTGAATATTCATTTTTCAGCTACTCTATTTCTCTTGGCATCTTCTGGGTCTCAGAAATGCATGTGTTACCTCATATTCTCTTACATCTTTAATGATAACTTAACAGAGGTTTTCTAGATGCCTTTTACGAGTCATTATTTTTGGCTGTGTGAATAATTCCAACTTGTGACAGAATTCAGCAATGCAAAAGACTTGATAAGTTTGCTTCTTTTTTCCTATTATAATGTGACTTAAAAGTAATCTAATTTTTTTTACCTAGTGGGAACTTTAATTACAGTTAGGGCCACATCTACTCCCAGAGCAATTCTTTCTTGGAACAAGCACCTTGGACAAATTCTCTTTGAGTGTACATTTCCATTAAAATCAACATTTTCTGCCCAAAATTAAAAGAAGAAATAAATTCAACACTCTCTATCCTACTGCTCAGGCTAGCAGTGTTCCATTGCAGTCTAACCTCTGTTTTCTTCCACACCTTTACTTTCCTAGTGCTTTCTATTGAAAAGACCAACAACCCATAGCAATAACATTCCCTCCACGATTTTTTCATGCTTGCTTAAAAAGATTTTTCCTTTGCTACTAAGGAGGCTGTGAAAAAACTTTTTTAAAAACATGAAATACTGGCCTCTCAGTTTTGAAGGCTGAGTTTGAGTTGCAAATTACAGTTCCTACTCTGTAAAATAACACTACCACATCACAAAATAATTGACAATTTCTGCTCAGGAGAGCCTGAGATTAATACAGCAGGGGATCTCAAAAGATGCAGGTGAATTAACAATTTGTGCTGGATAATGAATTTTTGGGGTTTTTATTGACATGAGCGTAGTCATCAATGGAATCCAAAAGTAAAAAACAAACTTCGGATTGGTTACAAATCTTTATAGTTAGAAACTTTTATTGTTTAATTTGTGGTTGGTTTGATGACTTTGAGCATCTTCCTTGTTGGATGAGAGTACATTATCTCCATATGCAAATTCACAAAAGCTCTATTTCTAATAGAGGTAATTTCAACACATACAGCTAAACCTGAGGTAATGGGTATAAAACTGTAGAAATGCTGAGACCAAGGGATCTGCCACAGTCCTGCAACCACAGAACTTCCAGCCCTGACACAGTCTAATTTGCTGCCAATGCGAGGTTCTTATACTTTCAACATTTCTGCCAGAAAAAAACCCAACACAAAACAAAACCAAACCAAAGGAAGAATGAACAAAAATCATTTGAGGTCACGGACAAGAAAAATTCATTAAAGATCAGGAAATACTTACAGACAGTGCAGCTGCAAGCTGCAGGACAACAGCTGTTTCTCCAGGCACCAAAAAACCCCCTAAGAATTTCTGTTAAAAGTTCTATGGAAAAGGATCTCCAGCACAAAGCTTTTCCTTGTACACAAAACTGATATGAAGATCAGCAATGAAAATGTAATGTCCCTCTCAGACTTCTCTATCACTCATGTGAAAAATTCCTCCCTCTCAGGCAAACAATGTTTTTTTGATTTCTTCAGGGAATTTATTTTCCTTTAGCCAACATTGTGGTTTCTTCCTTCCTGCACTCCATTCTAACTGGGTAAAAGAAACCAGCCCACATAAGTGAGCCATTCAATAAAACAGACCGATACATAAAGCTGTAGCAGATATGTCCTTAAAATCTATCAATCAATTACTCCAGAATCAAAACATCTGAATATGCACGAAGTGGTTCACAAGTGATGCACAAACTAGGGAGAAGTGCAGTTCTGATGAATTAATGGTTTGAAAAAGGCAGTTCAACCATCCTAAGGTTAATGGAGAACTTGGGATTCATTCTTGCCAGTTGTTTTGTGTGAGATTTTTCTTTGGGTTGAGCAACTGAGTGAAAACAAAGTCTGATCCTACAGGTGGAGTCTTCTCTTCTTGGGGCACATACACAACTCCAAATGCAGTTACCCAGTTTTATGAAGAGAAGACCAGCAGTGTTTTTACAGTAACTCTGGGATCCTTCTGTACTACTTCTGAATTAATTACAAACCACCCAGTAAATACATACTCCTGAGCCAGCTCCCAGGCCGTGTCCTCTGATACTCCCTCAGAGCCACCTTTTTAGGCTGTTACACAATCTACTGCTAACATTTGTATGGATCAGCTACTGAGACTTTCAGCTGATTTTAGAATAAATACAGTCTACAGCTACAAATCTTCTCTTGGTTTCTGAAATGTGAGCATTATTGATTCCTTCATAACATTCTCCTATTTGGAATAGTCTGTTTGAGGCTACTCAGGGAATTTGGAACTCTATGACAATCCTTCAATGCTACCTGTGTCATCTGGTCATCATCCTGGTGATAGAACAACAGAAAAGGGAACAGAGCATTCAAGGTACATCAGATGCACTGAGTTTAATCATCTGCCATAACCTCATCATATTCTTCCTGTAGTGCACTGATCAACCTCCATCCTAAATTGATGATCATATCCAGGCTACTATTACAGAAAGTTGTTCTATATTGAAAACTTTGAGACTTCTTTTCAGTTTAAAATTAATTCTGATGAATATTCAGCAGGTCTATGTGCCACCACACTCCTTCCTTTTAAATAGGTCTTTTACTTCTCGTTGTGCTTGCTCTCATGTATTCAAAAGCAGCAGTCACACACCCTCTCCAGTCTCCTGAAGACTGACATAAGACAGACTTGTGACACTTTCCATGGAACATGAATCATTCCTCATCTTGGCTTGGGAATGCAGTGAGTCCATGGCAACTGGGAGGCCATTTTAGCCAGGTGAGATTACAGCGCTGCATTCTCACACTGCGCTGTGTTCCAGCTTTGTTCAGTGACCTTGGCACAAAGAAAGTCTGTCCCCAGTGTTGGCTAATTCTTTGAGTGCTGCCCTGGTGAATGTCCTACCTTCTCAACAAAAGTCCTTAACATCTGCCTTCTCAGCACCTCTGTGCATGCACATCAGAGTTTTCTGCCTCTCCCTACGTTCTCCCTTTAAAGGCATTAGACACATGACAGCAGTGACTGAGCTTGTGTAGAGATCTAACTCATCCCCACCAAACACAAATGCAATCATCAGTGCATATGTTGCAGTACCTGCTGTTGGTAGGACAGTAAAACAATTTTTGCCTTTTTTATATTTACCGCAAGAATCTTCTTCCCCCACATTTATCCTAAAATCTTGACTATTCAGATTCAGCATAATTGGTTCCTACTTTTATAAATTCTTCATCTTCCTAAATATTTGACACTTGCTAATCCATCATCTCATCTCACAGTTCCCATTTTTACAGATTTTGCTTCCAGACATGAAATTTTGTTCTTTCAATTTTTTTTTTTTTTGGATCAAGATTAACCAAACTTGATTAACCATCTTGAGAGCTTTGATTTCCACATTTTACTTCCACTTTGACTGTGGGAATGTCTATTTTCACACATTTGGTTCTGTTCATATTCAGCCTTTGTCCTCAAATAGTCATCCCAATGATGCAATAAAAAATGAAGTCTATTAATTCAAGATTTCCCTAACCGCTTCAGTTATTATCTCTGTCCCATCATCTGTTTTGCTTTTTCTTTGGGAAAAGAGCAGATTCCTTACACCTTCTTCCTTTCAGGCTTCCTCTGCCTTTACATTCCTAGTTGCTTTAGTTTATCTATACTTGCTCTTTGAAATTCAATAGCCTTATTTACAGAATAATTTTAATTTACTCTTTCCTCTACTGTAAACTGAATCACTTATATCAGCAGCATAAAGAGTAAAACGCTTAGCAAATGAAAAAAAAATATTTTCCATGTTTTTTGTGGTGTGAAAAGTTCATTAAAAATGAAAAGACAAATTATTATTAATTTTAGGGTAAGTTTATCCTATTTTGGCATTTTTGTAAGACAATACAACTGCTCCAGGCTGAAAGCCTCTACATTTGTCTTTCATCATGGCATTCTCTGAAATGAATCCCTCTAAAATCAAGGATGACTGCATCCATGAATGAAAGTCAGGATGACTAATTACCAAGGAAACTGCTATTCAAAGGGATCACAACTCAACCCATAATTAACAAAACTCTAATTTATTTCTATCAGAAAATAAGGCAGTATGGGTTTCCTTCTTACCAAGATCAACAGATCATCCAAGACAAATTTTTGAGCACATTGTATACATTGCAGGAAGTTTACTGATTAAACACATTTGTTAATTTTGAATTCTGACAGTTCTAAGAGTTATTTTACATATGCAAGCAGAAGATGCAACATTCCTCTATGGTAACAGCAGGGCACGACACAGGCAAAATATTTTAGGAGATTAATAATAACACAGGCTACATATTTTTTGAGATTAAATTTCAGTTTTCAACCTAATCTCTGCATTAATTCTTTTTCTGTAGCTGAGGTTTGTTGAGACAGAAAATTGCTATTATCCATAATCTGAGTGAAATAATTAGCCAGTCTCTGTCAGTCACATTTCAACAACTCCAAATGATTCCCCACACTGACAGTCTTACTTCCAGGCCAAAATTTATTAGTTTCAGGACCTGGTAACCACCAGCTCCTGATTTTAAGAAATGATCACCCATCATTAGTGTCCTTGAAAATACCAGCAGAGAAAACAGGTCTGGATGTAGAGCAAAGTATTTCTGTAGCAAGCAGAAATAAAACAACAATAGAATTTAGAACAGCCCAAAAGAGAGAACCTGCAGAGCTGATAGACTTTTTCCAGGGTCAGTCAGGTTTGGAATGAAATGAAGAGATATTTGGTATAAAATCCTCATTTGACCATTTGTCCACAGTGAACACTATTTAGAAAGTAAATTAGGAAGCTCTTACATGGTACATAAATTAAAGACAGTCTTGTAAGTCTTAAATGTTCAAGTCTGTTGACGTTTTATAAAACAAGGACCTTGTATAATAAACTTTAAGCTTTAAAAAGCAAAAAAATTCTTTATAAATTAACTAGTCATCCCACTTGCAATAGTTCTGAAGCAAAGACATTTCTTGGATATTGCAATCACACTATTAAAAGGTAAGGGAATGAGTTTTTTTCTGAACTTCATGTTGTGACTAAATGGTGATAAAATTCTTCCCAGACTTCTGTAGAAAGCACTCTAGGAAACAGCCCCATAGTTCATCTATGCTTAATACAATTATTAAGCATGTTTTGAAAATTTCTGTGTAATAAGGAAAAAGACCTAAGAAATGGATCTGACATGACAACTGGCATTATTTTTTTTCATGTCAAATTAAAGGCTTAAGTAAAGTAAAAGTAGATAGAACCCAAATATCCCTTTCTGGTTTACATGTGGCACTTTGTAGGTTAAGCAGATCATTTAATCAAATGAGAAAACAAATAGCTGGCTGGGAGACTGCACTGAAAATGCACCAAATACTACAGAAGCCAGATCATAACCTCATGCAATCCCAGACTTTTTAAAAAGTAATTAAAAAAGAAAATCCTTTTAATAAACATGTCTTCCAATCCAGATTAGCTAGCTGAAAAAATTCCAAACTCATTTTTCTCAGCCTTTTTTCCTCTCTCTGTGCACTGGACCAGATGTTACCACTGTCATTCCACCAACATTATTGCTTGTACCAGACTCCAGTTTGGTTTCTAGTCCTGTAATGAAGCACCTGCAATCTTTCTCATCCAAAAACATGTTAGAAGCAGAATTCTAATCTGAATCTCATCCAGTAATGGGTGACATTCCTCTTTTTTTTTCTCTTGGAAACAACCATCCAAACTTTTTTAAGCCTTGCTTTCGAAGGCCACCATGTTTTCATAAATAATTCATTATTCATTTCATGTGACTTTTGTTTAAGGAAACTCCAAAAAAGGGCTGGAAGTTTGCAACCAAGTTTTTCTGCAGCAATGAGTCATTAACTTCATGAACATTGATAAGGAAAGTCTTGTTTTTAATGGCTCCTCCTCCTACAGCTGTTCCACTGGCTGGGCTGTGCCTGCAGCTCGGATGGGGCCTGTAAATGCTTCCTGCAGGACTGGCACAACCCACAGAGGAAGGCAGGGAGCACCCCTATTACCTTTTATGTCTGCAGCTAAGAAAATGCTTGGACATCTGGTTAATAAGCTGGCTGAGGCTCTGCTGGCACCAGGGCACTCGGCAGCAGCTCGCCCAGAGCCAGCACAGCATAACCTTGCACACGGATCAGCAGCTCTGCAGCCTCCCAGGCAGCTCTCACAGACAGATGTTTGCTCACCTGTGGTGCTTGATGGGCTGGGTTCCTCTGTCAGGAGACAAGGCCTCTGGGAAAGACTGGGTGCCTGAAAAACTAGACTCCATAACTTTGTGCAGAATGGGCCCCGGGTGCCTATCTGGCTTTGAATACTGCAGCAGAGAGAAGAACATTAATTAATACTCACAAGACAAAGTACATTGTTGATGCTATTCACTCTGAATTCTTATCCCTATAAGAAGTGCTCTAGTGCATTTTAAAATCAGAATTAGGCATTGCAAGTAATACATTCATTCAGCATTGTTTACACAGCAGAAAGGGCTGGTAACCATTACCCCCATTACGTTCTGCACATCAAAACACTGATATCAGCCTTAGCAGAAAAATTACAGACTGATCTGCCCACAATGATGGGAACAACGATCTCTTTGACTAGAAGTCTGTTTTTGTGGCTGTCCATACAGAGACAGATCACAAAACACATCTCAGAGGACAGCCAGCAACTTCTTGGGTCCTTTGGTGATTTCAGTCAAACACTGCATTCATCATCAGCATGTACAACTATCAAAACCAAACTGAAACAGCACTTGTGTCATCAGATAAGTAAGAAAAATATTTGAATCCTATCCACAGAGCCAGGTATCTCTCTGAACCAGTCTGAAACTTTTGACCTGGGAGTATCTGTGCTAGTAAGAACAGCGTAAACATAATTCTTCTTGTGGCAGGTGTGGGCATAGGGCAGTCTCTGGGCACAGAGTGAGACACAAAGGTCTGCAAAGCAGACACTAGAAATGAAGAACAGATTTGTTCTTTTTGCTTTGTGATTCAACTGCAGTTTCAAAAAAAAAAAAAAAAAAAAAAAGAGTCTCTCAACCGATATAGAGCCCATAAAGTTGAAGTATAGAAAAAGCTGCACTAAAAAGCTGCACTTTGGCTTACCAGAAGATTCCATGTTGTTGGTGGTCACTGGGCAATATCTCAGAGATATGAGAGGGTAACTCACATTTCCACTCAGGTGTAAAAAGTAAAGCTCTTTCCAGACTTACTTTTTACTTTGCATTACAAGGACCTGCACTAAAACTAATAGGCCTGTTTTCCTTAATTTTTATTTTTAGTACTAGACACCTAGATGTCCATGCTATCTTTAAAATAAATTTGTATTGTGGCAGCGATTACATGATGACATGTTTTAGAAAGAAAATACAAATTAAATTATTAGAGAAAAAAATCACAGTGGTGAAAAATGTTTGTTACGGTACAATAGCATAAAAATTCATGGAGAGGATAGTAAGCACTCTTTCAAAAGACAGTTCTTCATAATTATTAGTTTTGTCTAACAAAAGACCAGTAACTCTTTATAACAACAGACTGTTATTTTCTGACTCTCACTTATTCTTATCTACATTTCTGTAGACTTCAGCAAGATCAAAAAGGAAGGTCGTACAGGGATATTCCCTTTTAAAAATAGGTTACAGGTACTTTTAGTCCAGCCAGTCACACTTCTTATGACCAATTTCTATAGATAAAAAACCAGCTCTTCAAATTTTTTCTCCACTGCTCTTCTCCTTCTTTCTGTTGAGTGAAATACCCATGTTAAACACAAAATCATTTTTTTTTCTGCTTCTGAAGGCAAAGCTGTGAGTGGCAATATGGAAAAATAGTGCTGCATGCATGAAGTAAACACAACTGAAATAATAAGAAGAAATATATTCCACTCTCATTACTTTCAGTTACCATGATCTTAGATGTCACTTGTAAATGTTGTAGATAAAATATTCAGACAGAAATATGATTTTAAGGTACTCGCATTGGTGAAGGTTTTAAACTTTAATAGTTCTCCTGCCAGCTGCAGAAATGAAACTGGCTTTGATTTCTGACCTGAATAAATCAATTTGAGCTATGTAAAGAATGGCTTGCTAGTGCCAAGAAGCTATTTCTGTCCTTTTTTTGAGTTTGCTCATGGTACAAAGCTGAAGGCCTGAATGGCCCATAAGACCAAGAGGACATCATGAAGAGCAGAGAGAAGCTGTGCCTTTTGCTATATCCTTGTTTCAGGTGGATGTGGGCTGGAGCAGTGGTACACAGAGACTTTCCTCATCACAGCTGAGGAACACCAGCACACCAGAAGCTGCTCTGATGCTGATCAGCAAATTTTACTGAAGGTCCAGCACCCAGCACCACCCAGGCACAGCCTACAAAGGGTATTTTTTACCCCCTAACTGAACATTTTTCTCCTTTTCAGATACTTAATACACAGTCATAACATTCATTACAATGAAAATGTAAATTAGTTTAAATTGAGGGTGTGAATATACAGGGAATTCTAATAATGCAATTGAACAGATCTGGATGCACCATGCTATTATACATTTTAATATATTTAAACACAGTTGGGTTTATTCTCCTTTAGCTTAACTCCAAGTGCCACACCCATTCTCTAAGATCACCTCTGGAGAAAAACACCTTCATACTCTTGTGAAGAGCTTACAGCAGCATCAGTTGGTGCCCCAGGAGGACAACAAGGGATCATTCCCCAGCCACATCCCAGCAGGGCTCATCCTGCTGCTCTCACAGCTCACTTCTCACCTGGGCTGAGCTCCTTGGAAGCCTCTGACTACTGTGAGCTGCTGAATGCTCAGCCATGAGGGAGAAAAAGCTGTGAAACCCTTTCAAAGGCCTGCTACAGTAACAGGCCTTGAAAGCATCGCTGAAAGCTTATCTGTATCTGGGGTTTTTAATGTGTTTCTTGGTTTTTTTTTTGCCTTCTTGCTTAATTATCTATTCTTGTTTGAGCAATTACTGAAAAACACTGAGGCATATGGCTAAATAAATTAAAGAATAATGATTGCTTTAAAAAAAATTGCAAAATTTCCATTTTTCATTGTTTCATGGAGAAAATAATCTATTATGTGCAATTACTCAACTCTCTGACAGTAAAAATTCCAGCCCCTGCTAGTTAATGCTAAGTGAATCTGAGAAGGTGGCCTGAGCCAGCAGACAAGAAATCAGCCTTTGTCACTGACCTGCTGCATTGCTGTGAGCACATAACTCCTCTGCTCTATGCCTTGAATCCCCTCTTCTGAAATGCAGGGCTCAGGGATAACAAATGCCACTGGAATGCTCCAGAGCAGCTTGACACTGCTGTCCTGGTGCTATGCAAACCAAACACCCATCCCTCCCCTGGCTTTACTCAGCTGGTGCTATGCAAACCAAACACCCATCCCTCCCCTGGCTTTACTCAGCTCCTCCCCTTCAGTGATTCCCCAAAATAGTGAAAGGCCCAGAAATCCACATGGCACTGGAAGAGAGGTGATGTGGGGATCCCATTTCAGAAAGAACTGAGAAGCAGAGGGGTCAGCCTGAAATGACATTCAGAGAGGTTGTCTCAAGGAGGAAAAGAGCCAGAGATTTTTCTGAGGGGGCTGAGCTTGCACAAAAGCTCATCAGGTGGTACATTTAACATCCTTACTGTTCCCCTATGTTTTGTTGCCAACACTGCCTCTAGACAGAGGACAGTAAATTCAGGTTTGTCTATTCTGGCAGTTCTTCCTAAGTAGCCATGTGATACAGAAATGGGAAATTTGCTCTTGATCTCAGCTGATAAATCAAATGGCAATTCATGTAAACCCACAGAGTAATCCTTTAAAGATTTAACATATCTCTTGCTTGACATATATTAATTGCATTTCTATCACAGTGAATGAAAAGATTTTATTTCCTCCTACTAGGAACAAAAGGCAACAAGATGCAAAAGGGACATTTTTTTGGTCCCTCATTATAAGAATGTCAGAAACCTGAAGCTAGTGGTTGCAAGCTACTAGAAACAAGTGTAGTGAAAATTGAAACCACACAGAACAGCATGAAAAGCATATTAACCACCTCAGAGGGACAGTGATGGGAAATTAATAGATCCCCTTGGTACCATGGGAGAAGGTATTAAAAACCATGAGGATGAAAAAGGCCACTTTAAAAAGCCATAACAATTCTCAGAATCACTAAAGGAATGTCAAGGTTTCAGCTGATCTTTTAAATTTTTTTTTTCCATGATATATTTACCAAGTTGTCAGAATTTAGAAAGAAACCCTTAACTTCATGTGGCTCCTGTAGGAATCAGGAGCCACCCCAGCTCCTCCTGCCACCTGCATGGTGTATGAGGGTGCACCAAGCACTTGTCTCTCTAGATGGGGAGAAGGACAATTTCCTTCCTTTTGATTATGTGGAGACCTGACTGTTTGCTGCAGTCCTTTAAATATCTCTTGAAAGGAGGATGATCTCTTTGGGATGGGGTACATAATACTTGGGAAGCCCTAGGCTTTATGCATTAGGTGAAATGAATCTCCATCTCCTGGGTACCTCAAAGATCCTGGATTATAAACTGGCACATCTCTTCCTGGCTGAAGAACTACAGCAAGATTACCAGTGCATTAGTCTTTAAATCCAAGAGGCTAGAAACCCTAGCAGGAACCACCTAGCAAGAATTTAAGTGTGTTGCTGCCAGAATGTTTTGGAAAAGCAGTGGACTTGGAGGAGATTCAGGAAATCCTAGGAGCTGTGTTCAAACAGATATTTATGAATCCTTCTTACAGTACACAGTATTTTTCATCTAATTTGTACCTCTAAGAGAATACTGAAATTGCTACTGAGGATAAGACAGGTGAGCACAATTACCAGTGATGAGCAGCAGGACTTTGGAGAGAACACAGCTGTCCTGACAAAATCCACCCCTTTATTTCACTTTTCAGAATCACAGCTGAGCAGAGGCAGGGAGTGGAGGAGATGTAATACACTTGAGCATAGGAGGAAAAATTACTTCACTGAGATTGGTCAAGGTCTTTATAGTCACAAACCACTTGAAACCTTGTCTGCTATACCCTGGGCCTTGGGAAATAAGTTAAAGCTCCTTCTAAAGTAACACATTTGGAAAAATAGATGGGCCCTTTACTAAATATAGCAACCTCTCAGTCAAAAGGTGATGGTTCTTTCAGAATAGTCATCAAGAATAAGGAACCTTTTGCAGCTTTTCTCAGGTCTCCACAAAAGCATTTTCCTCTGCAGAAGAAAGAGCTGTGTGAAAAGCATGAAAGCATCACCAGGTCTATTCAAAGAGACCAGAGAAAAATCTGGGATTATCTTCTAGGGAAAGACAGAAAGGTGGCAAAAATGGGAAAACACTCTTGCTTGTAGGGGGAGCACGTAGAGTGAGAAAAGAAACAACTTCCAGGATTACCTAAACCAAAATGCCAGACTGGAGGAATAGCCTCCAGAAAGTAAGTGCCCTCATTTATTTTAGTTTATTTATTAGCTCCTGGCAATGAAGAGAACTAGGATTTCTCTCCAGGCCCAGGCAGTGGCAGCTGCAGATGGGAATCCCATCCAGGCTGCCTGCTGCCCTTTCCAGCCAGCAGGTACACCCGAGGCAGATCTCTGGTCTCTGAGGGGGAGGCACTCAGCCATTCCTACAAAATACCTTTCCAAAGTCCCTTCTCTGCTGCCTCCCAAACCCCTGCCCTTTCCCCCCCTCCAATCTGGCAAGTTTTGTAAGTATTTCATGAGCTGCCTGCATGCATGCCTGCACCAGAGTCTTCCTAACAATAGAAACTGCTATTACACTGTTAAACTGCAGCCTGCACAAGGTCATTCTGTTTTTCTTCCTTCCTATCTTCCCAAAGGGAAAATGCATTAATGGCAAGGAGAAAACAGTTGCCTGCAAACAGCCACAAGGACAAGAAAATGGTGTGTTAATTACCAGCACTCCTAATGTCAGGCTGAACAGAAATAAAAACTGAAAATCAAATTTGGATTAAAATAGTAAATATAACGATAGTGTTCAATCTCTGTGTCCAGAATGTATGAACTGCTATTTCAGCCATTATGGCTATGGCTGTGGCAAAGGAAAATGACAAAATATTGCACTGAATTACAGTGAGAAAATGCCAAAGAGCATATTCTTAGTGTTAACCAAGACTTATTTCATAGGATAGAACAAAAGGATCTTGAACTTTACCTTTTGCTGCCACCATTAAAACCAATAACACTCCCAACAGCTCTTTTTTAGGGGCTAGAAATAATATAAGGCCGAATGAACCGAAAGTGAGAGAAAAAATTGCACAAGGTTCCCCAAAATGTGATTATGTGAATTTAGTGGAGCTATCTTCTTTCTTGGAAGAGTATCTATTTTTCCTGAATTACAAAGCATATCAGGAGCATAGGGGCACCACAGCAGTGAATACAGAACTTTCAGTGAATACAAGCAATGCTCTCAGAGCCTCTCTGTCTTAGCAGGGAGGCTCTGCTGACCCTAAATTGGTTAAAAGCGCTTACATTTATCTTTAAATTAATTGGATGTGAACTAGGAGCTTAGAAGTCATTGGTTAAGTGGTCATGAGTGCTCACTTTTGCTAAACTCCCACTATTTTGATGGAATCTGGCAAATAAGGTAGTCGTTCCTTTAAGCAATACGAAGATAGGTTTTTTTTAAAAGGAGTTAATAATTTAGAAAGGTTCTATATATCTTTTATATTTTCCTATTATATTGCTTACCAGGATCCTTCTTCCAAAGGCTTTGTTCAAAGTGCTGATTGTGTGTGAGCAGGAGAAAGAGAATGACATATACTGGAAAATGTCTTCCTAAAAAAATACCAGGGCTAAATAAATTGGTTGTCTTCAAGTTCCTTATTTCAAACACGCTTTACATATTTCATGATTGTGAGACTGTAATGACTTACATATAATTACATTCAGAAAATGATTAAATATATTTCAAATTTAGTTTGAACAGACTAATTTCTTTCTGTAAACTAAAGTACCTTTAAATAAAGACCAGAAAAATGAGACCATCTGCACGGTCTTCCCTTGGGCATTTGTTTACATGTGTAAATTTAGTTCTAGATTTTGAATTCACTCTGAATTAACTGTGACAAATCTCTGCGTTTTTTCCTGCAGGTTCGTAAATTATTGGAAGGTGTGACATCACTAAGTTCAAGGACCCTCACTACACATACAGATATCTATGGGTATTGCAGGAAAATATAACAGTAATTTCCACTGCTGAATGCAGAGCTGGGGGGCTCAGCAAACTCTGCCACATGAACCAAATATACCAGGATCCATTGAAATAACTTTAGAAAAAAATCCCTGCTTTCCATTAAGAGGCCTGATAGAAAACATTTTATGAAAGGGGTGAGAATTGTGGTTCCCATTGCTCAGATGTTAATAGCAGCATGACGATGTGCTGCCATCAGCAGCAGGAACTCAGCCAGGCCATTAAGTGCTGTAGCTGGCAGGATTACTTACATTTTGCAGCTGGACTTGGCTTTGTGCCATACACTCTGACTTTGCCATCATGCTGGAAGCATTTAGGCTGTAGGTTTTCCTATTCTGTGTTTCTTTCAGCTGTTCGTGGATCTGCTTGGTTTGCTTCCTGCAGAGAGAAATAAAAGCCATGTAAGAAAGAGCTCGCTTGATCTTCTGCTAGAGCCATGATACTTTTATAGCCACAGCTCCCTTTGTTCAAAACTTCACCATGCTAGCCAGCTGAGCTAATTCACTGATGTCTGATACTCCAGTGCAGCCGTTGTTTCCTGGCAAGGCTTAACAAAGGGGAAAAAAACCCCTCTCTTGTGTTTTAAAATACCTTCTATTCTCAGATCACTATAATAGTATGCTCGTTGTGCTAGTGCAGGGTTTTGTAAGATCATCTATTGCACATTTAACAATAGCTTGCAAGTCAGTGTGAATAATAAAAAAACATTTTGCTCTGATTTGGAAAAAGGGTTTTGGCAAATAAAACAGGCATTAGCCCCTGCTGGCTATAAAAATTGATGAAGAATCAAAGATTTCTGCTGGCTGATTAGACTTGACCTATAGCACATCTTGTATAGAGCAGCTTCTGCTTATATGCTTAAACCTGGAAAAAATGTCAGTATGGACACTGAGAATGTGTTTTTGAGTTATTATACTATAATCCACCCTGCCAGAGCTAGGAATACCTCTGGATGAATCCCTTGCATTATTCAGGAGATAACTATACTGTTAACAAAGACTTTCTGCCATACTGTATTGAGTGGAAGTGACAAACAGTTTTTTAAGTTCTGTACGTGAAAGAGGATATGAGACAGTAAACTTTAAATATTACTTTTATCTTCTGCAAAAAGTTATCTTAGCTGGGCAAAAACTGTTAGCAAATACATTTAATCTCTTTTATCAGTTTCCTTTTTGTTTTTTTTCTGGTGATAAGCTACATGGTCTGGGACTATCAGCTTTAAACAATGATGAGCAAAGACTTCACAATATAATTTTAACTCTTTCCTTTCCTGCTTTCTTTCCCTCTCCAGAAGATGCATCTCCAGCAGTGAGCCTTCAATGGCCTTGGAAACAACACAGGAATGTCAAGGACTCACCAGCAGCAGCATTTCATTATACCAGCAGCAGGTTTTGGACAGCAACTGGTGCTGAGCCAAACTGCCAAAGGAAGTGATTTCTGGCAAGTATTTTTAAGAGATAAAGAATATATGGCCTTTCTATACTGAAATTTGAATTCTAGCAAAGCAGCCTCAGCAGCATTTTGAAAAATTTCTTGTGATTTGATTTTGGAAACCCTTATGACATCATTAAGCTTGATAGAATCTTGTGTCAGATAGTGAATTTGACACTGAATGAAGTATAAAATTAATCTGAATTTCTTATTCACAGTGGAACCTCTGTCTACTGCTGGAAGCTGTAAGAAAGCAGAGGAAAATGACTTATGTGTTCAGTGGAGAGGCCTGTGAGAGAGGACAAGTTCTCTCAAAATGACAGAAAGTGGTGAGAAGTATCACAGTTCAGATATTCAATTTTAATAACATAGTTTTAATATTTCTTGAGTCCCTTAGTTTTGGTTCAGTGTGACACAATGTAAGCATTTGCTTAAATCCAACCAACTGTAAGAACCTGTTAGATGTATTTGTTACAGCTCGTTTCCTGAGTACAGGTCATAAGCCATAACAAATCCAGGACTCCAAGCACCTCTTGGGCTTTCTACTTGTATCCTATTTAGAAGCAAATGGAAAGGAATGAATTTATATTGTAACCATGTTACAAGTATGAGTGGCATGCTTTGAGTATTGCTAGGAGCTCAGAATTAGTAAAATCTATGAATACAGGTAGGTGAGGAAATAATTTCTCAAAATAATTTCACAAAAATGTTCAAGATTTTCTTTAGCCAAAACTGGTAGAATAAATATTAGAATAATCTAAATAGATATATTATCTGAAGAAATATAGTGTCACATTAAATTAGTCAGTTGAGTCTGAAACATCTCTTTTAAAAATGTTTTTAATATCCACTAATTTTTGAATCCAATGAAATTGAACAATTTCATTTGTAAAATGTCCAAATGAGCTCTTCGGCTTCTCATAAAATTCCAGGGGAGATTAATAAAAGGAACTTTAGTGTTTTTAAGAACAACTACTTTCTGAGCAGCTAAATTACATCCACTTAAGCAAGTTAGCACATCTATTCCTATGTCCTACTGGAGAACCAGCCTCTTGCTTGGTCTCCAGAATGGTTATGGAATCCTCAGGAATTTTTGGCATGACTTTATGTAAGGTATGAACAAATGATAGTGAAACATGATCACAGCATCAGATTTTGGGAACCTTTCATACACATACAAAATGATAATTTAATCAGGAAAATAACATAAAAAATTTTGGTTTTATTTATAAAAATAAATAGAGTTGTTTCTATATTTATAAACACGTGTAAGTAAACTGCAGAAATTCAGCCTCACTACTGTAGTCTTTAACATTACAATTGAAATTCCTGAAGGTAATTTGCTGAGAAAAACAATCCAATCATTAATTTCCTTTTATGTTCATGCAACCTAACATTAATATCAGGTTTATGCATATTCATTTGGCCAAACTATAGGATGCACAGCTATAAAACTAGAAATCATTAATAATTCAAAGTTACTTGCTGATTAATAAATTTATTTTATAAGTTTTGTTTTCAAAACAAATGGGCCTTATGCGTTCTACTTTAGAGTTATTTGGCAATGAAGTGTTCTTTCTTCAGCAAGAAATAAAGTCACTAGTCATTTGTAAAAGTCTAAGCTGTAAAGGGCAGCCCATTACTGTACTCTTCATCTGTTGCTAACACTTCCAGCACCTTCTTGATTAACCTAAAAGGAATAATTGGAAGGGCACAGAGTTTAATTATAGTCCTAAACTTTCTCAGATTGAGTCTATTTTAAAAAAGGACTTTTAATTCAATGGCTTATAGGGAAGTGACTATTTCTAGCAGCTGGTATTATAGAATTGTCAGACTAAGTAAGTCAGGATCTTCATGGAAACTTCCCTCTTAATGGATGCACTATTCAGAGTTTCTAAATCTGTTAGCAATATTCTACATTTTTTGTACGTCAAATGAAACCCCAAGATAACCTCCATGCAGGAGAAATGCTTGGATAATTCTTAAGCACAGTCAGGGTCCATATGCCTGATAAAGAAGCTCCCAAAAACCTGCTGACTCAAAGTTAACATATGGTAAGTGTTGAAGCACTTCAGATTTGTTGGGTTTTGCATCCTTAAGACACTGGCCAGAGTTACATTTACAATTTTACCTGGGCTCCATGAGACCCAGCCCAGACACTTTTATTTCCTCTTTGGACAGCACCAGATGGAGCCACAGCCAGGGTGTGAGGGACTGATCAGCCTCCCTTGAACACTGGCTGAGGCCTCCTGACTGAACCTGAACCATTTTCTCCTAACTCTCCAAACTTCAGTTCCCAGAGTCTGGCACCAGCCCATTTCAGCTCTTCTCAGTAACTCTCATATTTATAATGCAGACAAAGCCCCAGACCCAACACCCCCACCTGCTCCTGACTTATGATGCACTGTTGTCCTGTAAGTTCCTCTTTCAAATGTTATTCCCACTCATTATTTTCAGACTTAGCTCTCCTCACCAGCTGATCAAAGCCAGGGTGTTGTGCAGGCTGTTCCAACCCAGCTCTCACCACTCCCCACAGCAGTGCAGGAGCAGGAGGGGCCCTGTGAATAACAGGGGGGCTTATTCTCAGGATGCTCAGCCACTGACTGCATGTTCCTCCTACTGACAGTCCCATCCTGCCCCTCTGAAACTCTCCTCATCAGCAAAACCCTCAAGAAGCCTTTCCAGGGAGATTCTCACTCACTCCTTCTTCTAAGATGTGCAGATCTGAGATGCATAATGACATTCCTAATGGCAGTGCCAGAGTGCCTGTCTCTGCTCACATTTACACTACAAGGAAGGAGTTGGCAGGGAGGAACTGTCCTGCCAGTCTGTCCTTCCCAGCTGGCATCACAGTCACTCTGGATGTCCACACAACAGTTAACAAAATCCCTCAAGACATCAGAATAATGAAGAAAAATTGTGAACTGGCTCTGATCTCCACTCATGGTCTACCCCTGACGTTTGAGGGGAAGAAAAAGGGGTAAAAACCACCTGGTGATTCCCCCCCCAAATAGAAAAGTCAATTTAAGTATTTTTCTAAATAAAACCTAATCCTTGTTAGATTTCCTACACATTAAATTAAATTCTAGAAAGAGGGTTTCAGACAAACATCCAAACTTTTAAATAGTGCCATTCTTCACATTTTTGATGCTCAGCCACCCTGACTAGCCTCATGCAGGTACTTTTTTATATTGATTTGTGTTCTCTCATTAACTCCAGCTGGAATGAAGGATGACCACCATATAGAAGATATTTATTGATACAGGGGCAATGACAAGCATGTCATGTAACTGCTATGAGGTTTTTGCAACTCAGATTACACACATCACAATAAATATTATAAAATAATATTCAGTTGGGAAAAGGACAGAGTGGACAGTATTTCACTTGAAAATAGTTTAGTCCAGATGATTTCACTACTTGAATAGGTCAAAGTGCTTCTGTGTTACAGGCACTCACATGCATCTTCATCAACAGGCTGCTGTATTAGCTACAGGTTACAGATATCTGCAGAGGACTTGTTTCTACATTTCTAACTTTACTTTTGTTCTCAGCATACAGAAATGGACATTCAGGGATATGAAATGAAATGCAAAAAGGAGACGGTATGTTTAACCTATTGTTTTCAGAAGAGCAAAGTGATTATTGCAGTGATGGTAAATGACACAAAATTATTACTATCAAAAAAAAAAGTGGATATGACACAACCTATTCTTTTGTGATATCAGAAAATAGAAAGAATGTTTTTCATGGAGAACGTTCATTGCTCCTGTCTATGTTTTGGGGAGGACTTCGTGCAGCCATGGGGAACTGCTGTAGTTGGACCAGAGAAAACAGCAGCTTCAAAAGGAGGGGAGAAGCTGAAGGGCTGTCAGGCTGTAAAGAGGACAGCAGCTAAACCCCAGACACAGCAGAGGAAGGCTCTTACTTTGTTTTGAAGTAGAAGGCTGCACACAGCATGCCCACCACGACGATGCCGAAGACGATGCAGGCGATGGACAGCACCTGGCGCTGGTACACCTCCTCGCTCTCTGTGGGCAGCAAAGGGCACGTTAGGCAAGCACACAACACACCTGCCAAAAGGCAGCTGCAGCACCTCATGGCTTCACTAATGATGCACAGAGTCTTGGAGAGCTGGCCTGGATAATTCCTGCACAGAATGGGTGCTTCTCTGAACCTCCCCCCTCTAGTAAGGTTCATGCAGCTGGGGCCTCCTCAGAAGATTTAGAAAATGGCCCCAGTACACTCTGAGAGATACATAATAATGACAGTCAGGACAGTTTAATCTTTTCTCTGCCATACATGCTGTTTTTCAGCTTTTCTTAACAAAGATTTTACCATCAATAGGATAAAGAGTCCTACCACCACGGAGTTTTTTGGCCTAAGGAAAGAACAATCAGAGCTCTTCTGATGTCCCACAAGAGTCAGAGTTCTCCTATAACTACCCCAAAAATGTAAGGGTTTTTTGATTTGAATGAGTAAGGTTTTTTGATTTGATTTGAGTAAGGCATTGATTACAATGCCTTGCTCCCATGTCTTGAAGCTCATGCAAAACATGCCAGAGTAAAAAATAAACTCAATGAACTTGCATGGAACCCAATGACTCTCTTGCTATGAAGCACCAGATATTGCTTTGATAGGTGTTTATTTTTTAAAAAAAAAAAAACAGATTTTCTTTATAAATCTCGTAATATTCTAAATAACTTTAAAACAGTAAAAGAATGAAAGTAAAAAAAAAAAACCAGAAAAAAGCTAAGGAAATAAGAGAAAACACTCCTTCATGACAGCAGACAGGAGCTCATAAGCAGCTGGAGATTCACACATTCAATTAAACAGCTCCTTAAGCATTATATTTTATGTTTATTCTTCCAACCACTTTTCTAGTTCAAAATGTGAACATGCCAAACAGATTGCCATCTTCAAAGATCAGTTTCTCCAAACATGCAAAGTGCAAGCCAGTATTTTCATCCACGAATTCCAGGTGGAAAGGCACCACGTGGGATTATGAGAGCACAGTCCAAGCCCTGGCTGCTGACAAACCCACACTTCCTGCCTGGGCTGGAGCTCTCAGTGCAGGCACCCCCATCCATGGGAACACCAGGCACACACGCCAAGTCGGTGGCAGCAGCTCCAAGTTTGGAACTCTCAGGTTCATAACAAATATTGTGTGAAAACACCAAGGTAAATCTAGGCAAATCACTAAAGACTATGTGCAGTACCCTAATCAGTACTAATTAATAATTTTTCAAGAATGAATATCACAGCGCTGTTACTAAACATTTGGAATCTTAAACACAAGCATCTGTCTCTTTCAAGATCCAGTTATTATTTTGGAAGCTATTAAAAAGAAAATTACAGTATCAAATCTTGATTTTTTTTAATTACTTGTCTACTTGCTCTCTCAAACAACACTACAGTGATATAAGATAGAAAATATCCTCAGCTTCTGCTGACATTTCCCCATCATTTAAATTTGAAATTCTAAAAATTGTATTTCTAAAACACTATCTTAAAAATTAAAAGAAGCAAATAGATTTTTCACCTGTCTAAAATATAACTGGAGAACTTGTAATTCAAAAGGAAATCCTGTTCACATTGCACTAAATGTGATTCCAGTACAGCTTTAGGCCTATTCCTCTCTGGGAGGTACAATATCTGGATCTAGACAGTAAATCCTTACTGGCACTGAACTAAATGTTTGGGGCTTAATGTCTTTTGTTTTGTTTATTTGTTTGCTGTTAAAAGGAATTGTGCAAGCACAGTTACCCACCTCCTTCCATTTCCACAGTAATACACAAATCTAACAAATTTGAATTCTTACATTGACGTAATCACACTGAAACTTATTCAAAAAACTCTTCATTTCAGCAACTGTTAACCTGTTCTGCCTGAATACAGATGTCAGCACCTCCTGCCTAAACCCCAACTAAGCCATACATAGTTATGAACTGCAGTTTCACTTAAACATTCCATATAAATAACAATTTAAAAAAATCTGTTCGTGAAAATAAATTGATTTGAATAATGTGTGCACTAGGCTTAATTTTGATTTTCTTTCAACAGAAGTCCTCATTAAATACTTTATTTTTTCTCTTGCTATTTCTTTTTGAGAAATTGTGAGTTTAATACAGCTATGCTCTTTTGTCAGTCCTGAATAGCGATCACTGCCTTGTTAAAGATGCTTTAGAATAAGCCTTGCCAAAATAAAAGCAATTCAGAGACCAGACAATATTATCTTGCTAAAACAACTATGCGGAGTTTTGAGTCTTTTGTGCAGTCAGATTAATCCCTGTCACCAGCTTTCAACACATGTTGATCAATATTTTCTTTCCTTTTTGTTTACTTTGTACAGTGCATATTTAAAGAAGTACTTATTGATTACCCGTACTCCATTCCTCTAGACACCTTTGTTCGTTTTTTACATCCTGTAAATATTTATTTATGTATTGGATTCCACCATTTTTTGTCTCCAACATCTTTAAATATAATCAGTTTGGCATTTTTCCATTCTCTAATCTGCTGCACTGGCTTTATTTAAAATTCACCTTCTTACTAACAGCAATGCAATCTGTCCCTCTCTGCAAACTGTGAAGATCTCCTCATGGCTGCCTTGATCTAACCTCACTATTGTGCTAAGCAGAGGTAGCACAGCTGAGATCCTTTCCAGACAAGGAGCATCAAAAATGGCTTGAATCTGGAGATGGCTGTAGCCAAGCACTTGAGCCCTCACAGAACAGAAACCTGGAGAAATCCAAAGTGCAGAAAAGAGAAGAACTGCAAATTCCTTCTCCTTCACTCAAGGATTTGCATCAACTGGTGCACACACGTATTTACATATGGAAACTAACTTCCCAAGGTAAACCCAAGTGTGACTGAAATGATAAGTCTCTCTTTATTCACATATATTCATATATTCCTTGTGAAGTACATCACCTCAATTACAGCCTGTTGAAACAAATACTCTCAGGAGAGGATTCCTCATTTAATGAGCAGCCAAGAAAATATTTCTGCTAAAAACCAAAATATAAACTGCCATGGGTACTCCTGGATAATCCACTGGAGGATTAAGACTACAGAATGTGAATTTCACCAAGCATTCAAATTGCAGAAAATAAACAACCTCTACTGTGAGAAATACAACCACAGTACTGAAAAGTAATGTAGTAAACTGTTTAGATGCAGACTATTTGTTTAATAAAAATTATGGAAAGAAAGGTCTTCTCAAAACTAAAATAAAGACAAACTCACAAGGAACATGGTGCCTGTTGCAAGGCTGAGCTCTCAAAGAAAAGTCCCCATGCACTGTGTGCCCTGTTACATGTGGAGCCCATTCTCAATTATGCTGTTGATTGTTTCTTATTTTCCAACCTGCTATGAAGTTTTCTAAGCTTATCTCACTCATTTGCTGCTATTATGAAGCACAAAATTACTACTGGTGACCCATTGCTCACAGCACAGTTAAATTTCACATACATTATGAAAAAAAAGCATATGTTATATTCCAGGTACTGGGGTTTGGGTTTTTTAATTCTCTTGCTCTTTAAAATTTACAGTCTGTATCCTGTTTATGCAAATGGAAAGACCCACTGAAGCATACATGTAAGTCTTTAGAGGATTAAAAAGTGTAGGGTGGACACATTTTTCTCATGACAATCATTTCTAAAGGATATGGTTTTTTTATTGTACATAAGCTGAAACTGGTCTCTTCTTTTTGACTTTGTTATAAAAGGAAGAATGCTGGTACAAGGTCCTTGAGTACGATTATAACCATATTACTGAGGAAAAAAATTAGTTAATTAAAACAGATTATGCTAGGCTTTGTCAGCACCTAAATCCACAATATCATTACCAGCCATAATCACTGGATCCTCTGGTTCTATTGTGTGTTTGGAGTTGAAATATCTTTGAAAGGGATTTCAAATATGAAGAACAGCATTGTGCACATGGCCTATACAAAACAATAACAAAACAAAAATAGTAACTTTCCCCCTTGTGCTTATTCCAATGGCTTTTGAATAAAATCTCAATACGGTCACAAGCATCACAGAGAATAATTACTGACTATTCAAACCAAGCCAACTGAGAAATTACAACATTTACCATACAAATGCATTACTTAACCTTTGCTCTGTGAAGAAAAACCCCCCATGAAAATGAATAAAGGTGCAGATTAATTTTTATGCTGAAATTTTTACTCCCAGCCCCAAAAGCACAAACCCTAACTGCACCCAGCATCCCCTTACCTTCCTCACTCCCTTCTCCTAAAAGAACCCACTCTGCATTACTGCAGGTAACAAATATGGGAAACCCTTTATCTTGTCCTTGGTACACATGAAACCCAGCAGCTTTCCATGTGCACAGAGCCATCTTTTCCTCAACAGATTACAGGGCAGCAATAGATTACAGGCAGGGCTTTGGGGTTTTTTTTTGTCCCCATGCAAAAACTGAGCCATGCAGAGGCAGTGAATTGGTGCTGTGATCTCTGCTGTGACCTCACTGCCAGACTTTTTGCATTTCCCTCCATGCCCTGCCCATGCCTTTCCTGCCACACCTCAATTCCAGATGGTATTGGAATATCCAGCAGAGCCAGACCCTCACTTCTGAAGTGAACCTCAAAAGTATCATTTGTCACTTAAGCTCTCTTTGGTGTCCAGCAGCCTCAAAGTGCCACAGACAACAAGGGAGGAGGAATACATGGAAGCCTCATCTACAATATCAAGATTTTTCAATAAAATACAGATTCCCATAAGATAAAAGAGAGTAGTTAAAGCATGTTTCTCAATATAGGTAGATTTATGTGTGAGAAGTACTGAACTATATACAGCATTCTAAATTTAATTCATGAAGAGAATAAAAAAAGCCTGCATGTTCCACAAAATCTGTGATTGCCTCAGCATCAGACATTCCACTCTCCCAAGAGTTATCTCTGTTCTTGCACTTGCAAAAACCTACTGCACAGATTCTCTGCCATATGCTGTGGCTTGTGCTAAGGCAGAGAGAAACGGCTGAGATGCTACAAGGCACAGTTCAC